AGGGAAATTGAAGTTTAAGGGTATAAAATGCCCAGTCATGCGTAAGTAGGCTGCTGTCAGTATGCTTGTCTGGTCATGCCCTGTGCCTGAAGTGAGTGTCTAAAACCAAGGACTGGAGGGATTTGTAGTGTGTTTATGTACATATATATGTTTTCCACTAACAAGTTTTTACCCTGATAAACCAGAGAGGAAAATAGGATGAGGCCTTTGGTGCTGTACGTGTTTGTACGAGTGTGACTTTCTGCCTGTGTTGATCTGTGTGTCTGGCTCTATGTGCATGTATTGTGTGTGTACACACATGTGGACTATAGGCTCAGCCTTGTGCCTGGCTGGACCCGGGGGCATGGAGCTATACTCTCTACCACAGCATGATGCTATTCCATCGCGACAAAATCAGACTGCGCAACTGTGTAGTGGAAAGTCAAAACCACCATCTCTTACTGCTCCATTCCATGCTTTATGTATAAATATTTTCAAGTGGAGCAACATTTTTTAAAAAATCCTTTTAAAATCACCATCTCTTATCTATAGCTCTATAGATATTCTCATTACTGTGATGGCAAGATTCTGGAGAGAGAAATTAGGGACACTGCAACATTTGGAAATTACATTGTGATAGATATAGCCAAGATCACCAGAAACAGATGCTTCAGTTTCCTTTCCAGTCATAGAGAAATACAGATACCTTTTAATGATAAGTCACAAAAAAATCATCACGTGACCAGAAAACCAGGTAACAGAGCAAGAGCACACTTGGATGCTTGCTTCTTTCTGGATCTTGGGCACCTGAGTCAGAAGTGCCACACTCCTGTTCAGGATCCAAAGCTAGAGAAAACTTTCTGTGCTGATTAACATATATTCAGAGCTTTATTTTGTAAATTACTTTTTATACAACATATCAATATTTAAATAGTATTTGTTTATATGTTTCTGCTGTCAATTAGGAAAGGACATTACTCAGCTGGTAGTCTGCATCTAGAATATGGCGCTCAGTTTTGGGCTCTCCAATACAAAACAGACGACTGGAGACAGTCCTGCGGATGGGCAGGTGGCTGGAGCATGTGCTGTAGGAGGAGAGGCTGAGGGACCTTGGCTTTTTCAGCCTGGAGGAGACAAGGCAAGTGGGGGAACATTAACAGCAAGGCCTACAAGCAGTTATTAAGACAAAAGAGCCAGCCAGATTCTTCAGTGGCGCGTAGTGCGATGATGTAAAGCAACAGGCATAAGCACAAACAAGAAAGGTTCATACTGGATATTAGAGAAAGCTTTTCCATGAGGATAGTCAAGCATTAGTGGAACAGGTTGTCCAGAGAGGCTGTGCAGTCTCCATCCTTGGACTTCATTGAGACATGACAGCCCTGAGCAGCCTGGTCTGGTCTCATAGCTGGCCTTGCTCTGAGAAGGAGGCTGGACTAGAGAGGTCCCTATTAACCTGAATTAGGTTTCTTATTTATTTTAACATCAAAGACACATGACTATTTGCACTGGCATACGTAAAGCTGTATATCCAAC